AGCACAGGATATAATTGAGAAACTCTGGACACACCTTATTTGTGCCAAAACCACGAACGAACTACAGTAAACGAAGTTTTTAGTTATAGCGGGGAAGTGATGTGGAACGAGTTACCGCAAAATGTACGAGCAACATGCTCTCTCTAAGTCAATTTTAATTATAACCACATTATATGTTAGTCATAATCTCTTAGATTAGATTTCACCGTGTCAGTTGATTGATTGATTGATTGATTGATTGATTGATCGCTACCCTCGTTACCTTCGCTACCTTCGCTACCCTCGCTACCCTCGCTACCCTCGCTACCCTCGCTACCTTCGCTACCCTCGCTACCTTCGCTACCCTCGCTACCTTCGCTACCCTCGCTACCTTCGCTACCTTCGCTACCTCCGCTACCTTCGCTACCCTCGCTACCCTCGCTACCCTCGTTACCTTCGCTACCCTCGCTACCCTCGCTACCTTTGCCACCCTCGCTACCCTTGATACCTTCGCTACCTTCAATGCTATACTCTTCACTACTATATAACTGCTTGATTATCTTCCCTTAAGATTACTGCTTGTAAATGATTAAAAATAGAACAAGTTAATACACAAATTTCTATATTGTATACGAACATAGTATTTATTTGTCCAGTATATAATTAATATTTAACTATCCCTTTGACCAATCACAAAAGACCTTGTTGGAGCTGCTACATGACCCTACCGCTTAGTGTCAGGAGGCTTGTCTAATCTCTTAATTTACAAACTATTTTGCAGTTCATGTACTATTGTTGCCTTAATCAATATACAAGGATGGATAATTTGTAAGCAACTATATTGAATTTTTGAAAGCTTTCACACATTGAAAGGAATTACAGTATCATGTCTGTCCTAACAGTTGAAACAGTTATAAATATATTTGAATTATGTACTGTACATGTATAATAAAGATAACTTGAAGTATTCTATATTCACTAGCATGTCATAGTTCTAACTTTCTGGTCCTTATTAAGCACACAGTATCTCACACACACTACCAGTAATATGGCTGACATACTAAGGAGTAAGGTGATAAATTTCTCTTTTGGTACATGCAGTCAAAAGTGTTTTTAGTGACTGTATGTATCCCATTATGACTGCCTGTATCAGTATGTCACAGGCATTTTACTGGTATGTGTATATTATTTGAACTTCCTGCATTGGCAAAGTACTTTGATTTGTATATTAATAAATTCTATGATATACACCATGTCATTGTATCCATTGATGTTCATACTTCCACAACCAGGGTGCTTAACCCATTAAGTGGCAGAGCTTCCCCATTGATGAGTAAAATTGTCTGGCGTTAGACAAGTAAAAAAATAGATGTGGCGCACTGGGGCGCATTGCGGTTCAATGGGTTAACACATAAAAGAACACACAGAGAAGGAAACCCATATGAATGTGTTGTTTGTATAGGAAATGTTCACATGTGATCATGAATTCAAAAAGACTAAAAAAATACACACTGGATAAAAAAGTTTATGAATGTGTTATTCCATAGCCAAGTGTTTCGTACACTACTGCACATAAAGAACAATACTGGGAAAATATTTGCCAATAATCCTGGTAAAAAATATTTATTAGACCAGAGAATTTGAGAACACTATTTGCAATCAAATAATAATACATTTCTAATTAGATCAACCCTCACTTGCACTTGGCAATTACTGACAGTGTTAATATCACAAAGTCAAACTTAATGCACATATAGTTCAATATAGTAAGCAGGAATAATCCAAACTCAGTGACACATTATTTCACAATTTTCTGTCATTAGTAAATAAACTTTGCCTTGCAAGACCTAGAAGAAAATGGTAAAGGTTTGGAGATTAAAAATCTTGCAACACTGTAACTGATAAACCCAATATTCTTACAGTACGGTAACTCTCTTTAAGGGTAAATTTAAATATCTGACTGATATAAGACCGAAATAACAAAATAGCCCAATTACTACAGGTATTGGGGCACATCACATATTTACTCAGTATCGCATATACAAAACAAGCAAATGACTGATGGTGACACTGGGAAACACTGCGGCTTACTGAGCACAAAAGGTGGGCCGACAATCCATGGATGGATCCATAAAATTTCAATAAATACCCGATTTGTTGTCCACAAATGCAATATTTATATCCCCGATTGAACGAAAGAAGGGGTGTGTCGAACTGCGAACTTAGTCCGAAAAGGGCTGCTTCCTCGGGTAGCAGAGCACAGACTACGTCATCAGTGTCAGTTTAATTACCGACAGCTTTACCAAACGTGCATGTTTCAATAATTTTCCAATTTAAACACCATTTGCTGCTATGCCATAGTCCGCATTGCCCACACTTAGTTATACAAGTGCACAGTCCACACTGTCCACACTTAGTTTGAAAAGTCCACACTGTCCACACTTAGTTAGAAAAGTCCACAGTCCACACTGTCCACACTTAGATAGAACAGTCCACACTGTCCACACTTAGATAGAACAGTCCACAGTCCACACTGTCCACACTTAGATAGAAAAGTCCACAGTCCACACTGTCCACACTTAGTTAGAAAAGTCCACACTGTCCACACTGTCCACACTTAGTTAAAAAAGTCCACAGTCCACACTGTCCACACTTAGATAGAACAGTCCACACTGTCCACACTGTCCACACTTAGTTAGAAAAGTTCACCGTCCACACTGTCCACACTTAGATAGAACAGTCCACAGTCCACACCGTCCACAGTTAGTTTGAAAAGTCCACAGTCCGCACTGTCCACACTTATATAGAACAGTTCACAGTCCACATCGTCCACAGTTAGTTTGAAAAGTCCACAGTCCACACTGTCCACACTTAGTTAGAAAAGTCCACAGTCCACACTGTCCAAACTTAGATAGAACAGTCCACACTGTCCACACTTAGTTAGAAAAGTCCACACTGTCCAGACTGTCCACACTTAGTTAAAAAAGTCCACAGTCCACACTGTTCACACTTAGATACAAGAGTCCACAGTCCACACTGTCCACACTTAGATAGAAGAGTCCACACTGTCCACACTTAGTTAGAAAAGTCCACAGTGTCCACACTGTCCACACTTAGTTAAAAAGTCCACAGTCCACACTGTCCACACTTAGATAGAAGAGTCCACACTGTCTACACTTAGTTAGAAAAGTCCACACGATCCACACTGTCCACACTTAGTTAAAAAAGTCCACAGTCCACACTGTCCACACTTAGATAGAACAGTCCACACTGTCCACACTTAGTTAGAAAAGTCCAAACTGTCCACACTGTCCACACTTAGTTAAAAAGTCCACAGTCCACACTGTCCGCACTTAGATAGAAGAGTCCACAGTCCACACTGTCCACGCTTAGATAGAAAAGTCCACACTGTCCACACTTAGTTAGAAAAGTCCACACTGTCCACACTTAGTTAAAAAAGTTCACAGTCCACACTGTCCACACTTAGATAGAAGAGTCCACACTGTCCACACTTAGTTAGAAAAGTCCACCGTGTCCACACTGTCCACACTTAGTTAAAAAGTCCACAGTCCACACTGTCCACACTTAGATAGAAGAGTCCACAGTCCACACTGTCCACACTTAGATAGAACAGTCCACAGTCCACACCGTCCACAGTTAGTTTGAAAAGTCCACAGTCAACACTGTCCACACTTAGATAGAACAGTCCACAGTCCACACCGTCCACAGTTAGTTTGAAAAGTCCACAGTCCACACTGTCCACACTTAGTTAGAAAAGTCCACAGTCCACACTGTCCACACTTAGATAGAACAGTCCACACTGTCCACACTTAGTTAGAAAAGTCCACACTGTCCACACTGTCCACACTTAGTTAAAAAAGTCCACAGTCCACACTGTCCACACTTAGTTAGAAAAGTTCACACAGTCCACACTGTCCACACTTAGATAGAAGAGTCCACACTGTCTACACTTAGTTAGAAAAGTCCACAGTCCACACTGTCCACACTTAGTTAAAAAAGTCCACAGTCCACACTGTCCACACTTAGATAGAAGAGTCCACAGTCCACACTGTCCACACTTAGATAGAACAGTCCACACTGTCCACACTTAGTTAGAAAAGTCCACACTGTCCACACTGTCCACACTTACTTAAAAAGTCCACAGTCCACACTGTCCACACTTAGATAGAAGAGTCCACAGTCCACACTGTCCACGCTTAGATAAAACAGTCCACACTGTCCACACTTAGTTAGAAAAATCCACACTGTCCACACTTAGTTAAAAAAGTCCACAGTCCACACTGTCCACACTTAGATAGAAGAGTCCACAGTCCACACTGTCCACACTTAGATAGAAGAGTCCACACTGTCCACACTTAGTTAGAAAAGTCCACAGTGTCCACACTGTCCACACTTAGTTAAAAAGTCCACAGTCCACACTGTCCACACTTAGATAGAAGAGTCCACAGTCAACACTGTCCACACTTAGATAGAACAGTCCACAGTCCGCACCGTCCACAGTTAGTTTGAAAAGTCCACAGTCCACACTGTCCACACTTAGTTAGAAAAGTCCACAGTCCACACTGTTAACACTTAGATAGAACAGTCCACACTGTCAACACTTAGTTAGAAATGTCCACACTGTCCACACTGTCCACACTTAGTTAAAAAAGTCCACAGTCCACACTGTCCACACTTAGATAGTAGAGTCCACAGTCCACACTGTCCACACTTAGATAGAAGAGTCCACAGTCCACACTGTCCACACTTAGTTTGAAAAGTCCACAGTCCACACTGTCCACACAGAGATAGAAGAGTCCACAGTCCACACTGTCCACACTTAGATAGAAGAGTCCACACTGTCTACACTTAGTTAGAAAAGTCCGCACTGTCCACACTGTCCACACTTAGTTAAAAAAGTCCACAGTCCACACTGTCCACACTTAGATAGTAGAGTCCACAGTCCACACTGTCCACACTTAGATAGAAGAGTCCACAGTCCACACTGTCCACACTTAGTTTGAAAAGTCCACAGTCCACACTGTCCACACTTAGATAGAACAGTCCACAGTCGACACCGTCCACAGTTAGTATGAAAAGTCCACAGTCCACACTGTCCACACTTAGTTAGAAATGTCCACCGTCCACACTGTCCACACTTAGATAGAACAGTCGACACTGTCCACACTTAGTTAGAGAAGACCACACTGTCCACACTGTCCACACTTAGTTAAAAAAGTCCACAGTCCACACTGTCCACACTTAGATAGAAGAGTCCACAGTCCACACTGTCCACACTTAGATAGAAAAGTCCACACTGTCCACACTT